GTGGAAGTCATGTTGCGTAAGCTACGTGGCTTGGTATGTTGGCATACATCGGCGTTCCTACAAAGTGTGCGGCGAAGTGGCATGCTTCTATACTGTGTTGGCAGGGGCAACGTCCTGCCCGAGGGGATGTCCAAAACCAGGTGATTCCACGCAAAGATTTCAACATATCCACTTTAACATCTTACATCACGTCATACGATGAGATCCTGGAGTCAGAAAACCCCGGATTTGTGATCCGGCGGCTCTTGGCACCGCCCGCTAAGAAGCGGCCCCCGCCCGCCCGCTTGCGTGGAAGTGACGGACGGAACTCATATCATCGTGGCGCACTCATCAAACGTCACGAACTTCTGTCACGGCGTAGATATGTTTCAAGCACCGCGCAACGAACCCCGAGCCCTTTCTTCAGCTGGCGTGGCAGGCGAAGTCTTGTTTAGCTGGCGCGACAGGCGAAGTAAGGGGTCGATGCGCGGGCACGAGTGCGACCAAGGCGGATGATGCGCGGCGCCGATTGCGATAACAGGGATCGATAATGATGCGTCGCCATCGTGGGTCCCTCAGCGGCATTGAAGCACCACGCGGATTGCACCAACGCCCGGAGTACACCCAGTCCTTCATAATCCAGCGTGGCAAGCGGAGCCTTGTTCATCTGGCGCAGCAGTCGAAGTAGGCAGGGGGTCGATGTGCAGGCGCGACGCGCGACCCTGGCGGATAATCCGCTGCTTCTGGTGCGACTGATAGGAACGATGATGGTGATGCGTCGCCATGGTGGGCCGCTTGCGGCATTTCATGCAATACGCGGCGAACAGCGAGCCCTTCTTTCTGCGGCGTGGCAGGCGACACCTTGTCTATCCGCTGCGGAATGTGAAGAAGGGGGCCGATGCGCGGGCGCGAGTGCGACCGTGGCGGATGAAGCGCGGCGCTGCCTGCGATGACAGGGAACGATTCTGAGGCCTCGCCATCGTGGGTCCCTCGCGGCATTGCAGGCACCGCGCAGCGAACGCCGAGCCCTTTCATAACCCGGCGCGGTAGACGAAGACTTGGCTATCTGGCGCGGCAGGCGAAGTAGGAGGTTCATGTGCGGGCATGAGTGCGACCATGGCTGGAGATGCGCGGCGTTGAGTACGATGCGAAAGACGATGACAACGAAGCGCCGCCATCATGGATCCCTCAGCGGCATTGCAGACACCGCACGCAAACATCCAATCCTCCTTCATCTGGCGTAACAAGCGAAATCTTATTTATCCGGCGCAGCAGGCGAGGTTGGGGGACGATGCGCGGGCACGAGCGCGACCATTGCGGATGATGCGCGGCGGTGGGTGCGATGACAAGGAACGACGATGATGATGAGTCGTCGCCGTGGACACCTCGCGGCGTTGCAGACACCGCGGGACAGACACCAATTCTTTCTTCATCCGGCGTGGCAGGCGAAGCCTTGCTTATTCGGCACGGCCGGCGAAGTAGGGGGGTCGATGCGCCTGCACCAGTGCGGCCATGGCGGGCGATGTGCGGCGTTGAGTGCGATGGCAAGGAACGATGATGATGATGCGTCGCCGTCGTGAACCCGTCAGCAGTATCGCAGGCCCAGTGCGGCGAACATCGAGCCTTCCTTAATCTGGCGTGGCAGGCCGAGCCTCGTTTTTTGCGGGGCGGCAGGCGAAGTAGGGTGTCGATGCTCTGGCATGAATGCAACCATGGCGGGTGATGCACGACGTTGAGTGCGATGGCAGGAAACGATGATGGATGCGCCGCCATCGTGGATGCCTCGCGGCACTGCGGGCACCGCGCAGCGAACATAAGTTCCTCCCTAGTAGACGAAGACTTGTCTATCTGGCGCGGCAGGCGAAGTAGGAGTCGATGTGCGGGCACGAGTGCGACCATGGCGGGTGATGCGCGGTGTTGGGTGCGGTGGCAGGTACGATGACGATGATGCGTCGCCGTGAAACCCTCAGCGGCATTGCGAAAGTTTCCGGACGACGTGGAATACTATCACCTTGCATTGGCAGGGAAAGCATCCCGTCTGGGGAGATTTCGAAAACCATGTGTTTTCACGCTGAGTTTTCAACATACGCCGTTCTGAACACATAGTATCATATAGCATGATGAAATCCAGGACTCAGAGATCCCGGATCATTGATCCGAATGTACTTGGCACAACCCGCCAAGATTGTAGGAGGGAAATGAAAGGGTCATCCCGGTGGAACACGGGCCAGCCCCCGCCCGCCCGCTTGCGTGGAAGTAGCAGGCGAAACCCATATCACCGTGACGCACTCAAAAAACGTCACGAACGTCTGTCACGGCGCAGCCCATACATGAACATATGAATACACCTCTATATATATACATAAGTACACACACATATACATATGGTGCAGGCTAGGTTGTGCAATCTGTGCGGTGTGCGCACTGTGGCGAGCGCGAAGTACTCGAATGCATGTGTATGCAAACGTATGCGATGTGAGCTATGCTGCACAAGTCACGTGGCGTGGGCTGTGATGTGTGCGAGCTGTGGGCTGCGAGCCGTGTGGTGCAAACCGTAGGAGGACGAGGAGGAGGAGGAGGAGGAGGAGGAGGAGGAGGAGGAGGAGGAGGAGGTTGTGTGAGCCGTGCTGCGTGAGCGCGCCGGGCGAGCACGGGGCCCCCGCGGCGCGCCTCCTCGGGAGACCGAGCCGCCCGCACACGCAGCACCCACGAGGCCCCCACGAGCCGGCACGGGCGCCCGCGCGGCGAGTCTTGGCGGCGCGCACGAGGGGGTAGGGGGAGGGGGGAAGGCTTCTTAGAAGGAGGCTGCTTCTTAGAAGGCGCCGGCCTTACATCTACAAAGAAGGCCAGCGCCTTCTAAGAAGCAGCGGTGCTTCTAAGAAGCCTTCCCCCCTCCCCTAGCCCCTTCTGCGCGTGGCCAGGAGTCCTCACGACACCCACCCCGCGCACGGGGTGGGGGGCCGCCCGCGAGGCGCCCACGAGGAGAACCCTCGGCAAGCCTGCCGGGCGCACGAGGCGGCCGCGAGGCGCTCCCGAGAAGGGCACGGGCGACGGCGCGGCGAAAGCCGGGGAAACGGGTCGGATCCCACCAGCCATTCGGGCGAAGGTGGTCTAACGAGTCCCCTCCCTTTCCTCTCACTGAAATCCTCGATCCTGCGGGGAGGGGTACCCTCCCCCTCCCCTCCCTGAAGTTTTTTGGGGGGGGCGGGCCGCGGAGGCTCAGGGCGCCCACGATGGCCCACGATGGCTCCAAGAGGGCCTCTCATGCTCCAAGATGGCCTCCAAGGAGGCTCAAGATAGCCGACGATGGTTCCAGATGGCTGACGACATACCTCCAAGAGGCCCAACGAGGGCCACAAGACCGTTCCAAGTGCTCTCGGAGCCCCCTGAGGACCCCCCGAAGAGGCAAACATCTTTCAAACACCCAAGGACAACAAACGATCCATGCCTGCTCACTTTTTCGTTTCCGATACTCTTTGAGACCCAAGGAGGGGCCCCAAAGGGCCCCACCGGAGGCCGAAGGTGGGCCCAAGGGGCCCCCCAGGCAGCCCCCAAGAGCGCCCAGGAGTGCCCCCCAGAGGGCCCGGAGAGCCGATTCCGATGCCCCCTGGGGGGGGGACGGACATTTAGGACCCCCCCTCTTTTTGATCCATGGCCTCAGCGATGGCCGCAAGAGGCCCTCCAGGCCTCCCAGGGTGCTCCCAGGGCGGCTCCAAGAGGGCCTCAAGACCCCCCCAACAGAGCCCCGAGAGGACCCAAGGGTCCCCCTAAAAGAGTCGCAAGAAGGCTCCAAGAAGCAATTGGTCGAAGGCTCTGTCATCGTCCTTGTTGTTGTCCTCCTCCTCCTCCTCCTCCTCCTCCTCCTCCTCCTCGTCCTCGTCCTTCTCGTCTTCCAGTTCCTTTTCATCCTCTTCCTCCTCCTCCTCCTCCTCGTCATCGTTGTCGTCGTCGTCTTCCTCCTCCTCCTCATCATCCTCATCCTCCCTCGCCCCCACGAAGGCCCCCCCGGTATGGCCCGGGGAGGTCCTCCATGGCTACCCCGTTGCTCCCAGAGATCTCTCGGTTCATCCTGCTTGCCCGCTTTGTTTCACTACATGTGTCTCTTCATCCCGTTTCGCGTCAACTCTCATGGGCAGGGTTTTGGGATGAGCTGGTGGGGATACTTTTTAGTCAGCGGCCGCGGGCCAGCGCGCCAGCGGCGAGTCAGGTCAAAGCGGGCTACGCAGAAACTAATTCGGCAGAGGCGGCGCGAAAGGGCTACAACTAACGCGGCAAGCCGAGGCCTCACGCAGCGGCCCAGCGGGCTGGTGGGGATACTTTTTTGGTTCGCGGCTCCAAGGCGACGGACAGGGAGCGGGCACAACGTCCGGGGCGCGGTACGGTGTAAATTGGCCGCAGTGGCGTATACACATGCCAGGGACAAAATGCCCCTCATTGAGACGCAGGACAGCGTCGGCAGGTGACCGGCCCAACTGGTGGGGATACGCGAAGCGTGAATGAAGAATTACTTACGCAACACAATTGAGAACCTTGAGTGCAAGCATTGTTGGGGGAATGCGCGGGGAAACATACTTTGCTTCCGCCGGCACTCCGCCAGCGGAGTCGCCCCCGTTCTACCGCCGCCTTCCGCCGACACTCCGCCGAGGAAGCGGCGCCTCATTTGGAGGTGGGCCGATGCATAGCTTCGACGCCCTCAGAAGCTCGCCATCGTTCGGGCGTCCATTCCCCGTGCATTATTCGACTTCGCGCGTGTCTTTTGCTGGCATCCGGTGATCCAGGATGCTCCTTGATGACCCTCGCCGAAACAAATGCACACGTCCGAGCGATGCCAAGGAAGAGAAGCAGCAACGAACGAGGGACCGACTGACAGGCTGCGGCACGCGAGCGAACGAGGATCCAAACCGACAGAAACGGGACCATCTGACACGCCAAACAGGGCCACAATGCCCCACACAACTCCAGCAGGCAGGACCCCCAGCGGAATGGGAGCGAGAAACTGGCGGAATCAACGCTGCCTGTTTCTCCGCGACGCTACAAAACCCCAGTCAAGGCGGGCCGACGGCAGCGCAGGCGGTGCACGATGGAACTCCTGGAATAGGGACAGCCAGTGCATAGCGGGCCCACTTGGGAAGTCCGCTGGCAGGGGCACGACACTGCCCAGCGGAGGGACTGGGATGACCCGCGCGACCGCCTGTGCAAGATACCCAGGCGCGATGTCCATTGGAGCCCACTGGGGGTCCCAAGCGAGCGCCGAGACGAGACCTGGCCAGAGACCAGCAAGCGTCTCAAGGGCACCTGCGGCGCGCTGCCCGTAGAAGGATGGAACAGAGCCTGCGACCAGAGGGGCGGCAAAGGCTAGGGCAAAGGTTGGCACGAAACCCAGTGGCTTCGACTGCCGCGAATTCGTGGAGAACCTGGCCGGGTCCTACTACGACATTCGTGCATTATGTCGCTGTTGTCGCCAAGAAATCGACGAACATGACGTCCTGCAGCAGCAGCAGCAGCAGCAAGACCAGCAAGCCCAGGCCGCATGTGGGAAAAGGGCAAGGCGGCAAACGGCCCAGAGGTGCCTCATGGCCCTCCAGCGACCAGTCCCGGATGTAAGGCTTGTAACCGCAGACTGGGTTTGCCCACTGGGCAGGACGGACACCGTGCGCCCTCTGCCCTGGTCGGACCTGGTCGGTGATGGTTCCCATGCAGAATTCTGAAAGTGCGGCTCGGCGCCTTCATCCAAGAAGCGCCTTGCCTTTTTACCCACCTGTTTGTGCAACTATCTAGTGCTTACGTAAACACGACGTTCGGTACTATAATCTTAACCGTATCTGGGGAGTCGCGAAAACAAGTGCCGCGCCAGCCTCCCCACCCCCCACCCCCTGATGCAAAGCTGAGGAGACCGACAAGAGACGACGGCAATGGACCTCATCGGTGATGTCGTCGCGTCGCTTCGTTGCTCAGCTTTGCATCGCTGGGGGGAGGGGGGTCGCGGGCTGCGCAGTCGCCCTGGTGAGGCGACAGATTCGGCTACCGCCGCATGGGCGCGCCGTGGTATGTCCGCTCCGATCGCCTCCCGAACGGCGCAATCTGGGGCAGCGCGGTCAAAAACTCTAGTACCTGGCAAGCTCTATGGGCGCGCCATCCACCGCTGTCTCTTCCTTAGCGCGTCATCCACCCCAGGTGGTGCGCCTCCCCTCCGCCGCGGCGCATGCAACCCGCGGCAGCGCCCTAGCTCAAATACCTGTTTGTGCACCGATCAATTGTTCCTCCTCCCCCTTTTAGGTCGCGCCATCCACCCCTGGTGGTGTGCCCTCCTCTCTCTTCTGGGGCGCGCCATCCACCCCAGGTGGTGCGTTCCCCTCCCCCGCGGCGCCGCCCTTCCGCGGTGTTGCCACTGACTCGCCTGTTTCTGCACCGATCAGGTGCGTCCCAACTGCGCCTGGATCCGAGCTGCCTCCCACCGCCTGCTGGGGTGATGCTGCCGCCGGAAGCTGCGTGGCTCGCATGGCGCCTGCCCGGGCCTTGTGCGCCTCCCATCGGCCATGACCCTGTGCCGCCTGGCCCGTGGTGCGTGCCGCCGCTGCCCCGGCCCCTGGATGTGGCCACGACGCCGCCCCGCGCCCGCTGCCAGGGGTGCAGCACCGGCCGGCCGCCCTGGCCGCTCCGCAGCGAGCCCCGCCACGTAAGCGTTCTGGCCTTTCCCCCCTCTCCCGCGGCTGTTTCCCCACCCCTTTTTCCACTCCTGCTGCCGGTTAATTGGCAATGCCGTTGCCCAGCTTGCCCGAGCGTGCGTGCGGACTGCATCCGTCGCGCTGCGATGTAGCAGTGTTTTACTCCGACGGCGGGTGATCAAACCAAAGCTACGAGGGGGCTCTCCGCTCATGGCCCAAGTTGGCGACGGAGCCCATAGCTCAGTATAAGGCTCGCTCACAAGGATGGACAGGAAAACACAAACAGGGACGATGACCAATACCGAACGCAGAAATGCCGTGTTCATCTTGGTCAACGTCGATATTGGTCAGCGTCGATCCGAAAGAAATTCTCGCAACTCGGCGACGGCCGACATGGACCGTGACCAAGGTCGGCATCGACAAAATTCAGCGGCAGCTTTGTCGTGGTTTTCTGTTTGCGAGCCACGGTCCCAAACCCAGGCCAGAATCAAGGTCAGCACAAAGAGTGTGGCATTGCCGTTCCTGGCGGCTTTCGCGGAGCCATGGGCGGCGGAAGCAGGATAGACCAGGACGTCCTGCTGCGAGAGGGGGCGAGGGAGGAGGAGGACGAGGAGGAGGACGACGACGAAGGAGGAATGATCACAGGCATATGCTTCCAGACGTGGTAAGGACCTTTTGGCAGGATCCGGCGACCCAGCGCCCCAGCGCCTCGACGAAAAGAACGCACACGATGTCTTTATACGCCGGTCGGAAGAAATTGGTAAAAGCATGAGGTAGGAAGGCGGATAGAGAAGACCGTGTCCAGGCACTCCCAGATAATAAACAAACGCAACAAAGCATATCGATTATTGAGATAGGAAGGCGCTCGAAGTAGATTGGGATCCGGGAGTCCAGAAATACATACTTTCAATGACCGACGTGTGTTGGCTTTCGGCGTCTGGGCACCGTTCCAAGCCCCCCCGGACCAGCAATAAGATGCACGGGATGTATTCCATGTTTGTATTTCATGATTTGTAAATAAAATGTTGAAGCAGTGGTTTTACATATGCCGGGGTTTTCATGTTTTTTCATGGAGACATTTCATGTTGTCGTGACATGCCGGGGATGTGCCGGGAATATGCCGGGGAGGCGATCGTGTTTTTATGTATTGTATGAATTTCATGTTTTGATTTATTGTAGGGCTTCATGGGTGGAGGCCGATAACTGGTTCATCCGGGCCCGTCAAGGGATGGAAAGCTGGCCAGGAGAAAGGGGGTCGAGAGCTCTGGGGGCCCACGTGGCAAACACAACAGAAACAACGAGGCGTCGGAGGTGTGCATCCTTCACACCTCTGGCCTCGGATCGGAAACCCTGGATCGGATCGGCGACCAGGCGAGCCGACCAAGGTCTGAGCTGCGCGAGTCAGACCAGACCGAGGCCGACATGAGAACCCCACACATCGGACCGACTCGAAATCGGCGCCCCCTCCTGCGGCTCGGAATCGAGATCGGCATCGAAGCCTCGCCCTGCCTCTCACTGGCCTGCGGCCCCTCGAGGGGCGCCCCCCCCCCCCCCCCCCCCCCCCCCCCCCCTCCGATGTCCTCTAGCCTCAACTTCTCCTTCACGCGCTCGACCCGGTCCAGGGCCTCGGCGTTCTCCCTGCACCAGCGGAGCTGCTCGGTGGCCAGGGTGAAAAACAGCATGCCCCCGACGCAGTCGAGGATCACGAGGAAGTTGGTCCCTCCCCCGGTGCCCTGTTGGTGAGGCTTCGGGCAGCGAGAAGACGGCCCAGGAACTCCTGGCTGGCCTGAGCAAGCCCCCCAGGTAGTCCAGGGTGGCCTCAACACCCAGTCCCTGGGGCGCGGAGTGCCCAAGGGGCGCCGCAAGGGGTGGCGCCAGGGTGCTGAGACCGCAGCATACCACTCGAGAACGGCCCAACCAGCATGGTGCACAGGAGGGGCCCGGGGACGGGTTCTCGACGGCTTCTGGCTGGGGGATGGGGATGCAGCTGGTCTCTCCCGGCGACCTCCTCCATGGGAAGGCCACCTGCCTGGCATCGCTCGGACGTGTGCGTTTTCTCCTCGGCGAGGACCATCGAGGAGCATCTTTGATCACTTGCCGAAAAAAAACAGGCACGAAACCGAAAAAAAGCACAGGGAATGGACGCCCGAGCGACGGCGAGACGGAGGTTTTAGCATCTCCCCACAGTTCTTGCCCTTAGGGCTTCCGCTTACGCAGGGGACTGGACAGGGCAGGGGGGGGGGGTCCTCGCCGCGCTGCGGCCCCGCGCCGCGCCTCGTGGGCGCCTCGTGGGCGCCGCGTGCCCGCGGGCACGACGGAGCTGCGCCACGAGGCGGGCCCGTGCCGCCTCGTGGGCGCCTCGGGGGCGCCCCGCGCTCGGGAGATGCGTTGGGGTTTCGCCACGCCGCCGCCCGTGAGGCCTCGTGGGCGCTCTGTGGGCGCCACATAGCCTGCGCCACATAGCCTGCACCACGTAGCTCGCAACACATTGCTTACACCACGAAGTTCACACACCACCACGCGAATTGCACCTGATTGCTGACACGACTGAACTTACTCCACACAGCTTACACCGCAAGGCCTGCACCACAAAGCCTGCACCACAAAGTTTACGCCGCAGAGTTGACACCGCACAGTTTTCACCACACAGATGTCGCTGCAGTATCGCTTACACCACATAGCTTCTGTTGCATAGCTTGCACCGCATGGATTTCACCCCATAGCGCACACGGACGAGCTTCCACTACATAGCTTACAACACATAGCTTCCACCACCCCGCTCGAACCTCCAGCTCATACCTCATAACTTATACGCCGTAGCTTGCACCACGTAGCTTACACCACAAAGTTTTCGCATTCACAACTCACTCAACATAGCTGGCACGACATAGCTATCACCTTATAGCGTACACCCCATAGGTTTCACCTCCACAATGCAAGATCGCACGGTTTGGGATCAACGCTGGCTAACATGTATTTCCGAATCAAGCTTTGCCCTAGGGTCGATGCACTCGTTCGTGAAGAAAACGTTGGGTTCCGGACGCGGTCGTCGCCAGGCTTCGCAGGGTTCCTTGGACTTGCTTCCTTGCTAAAGAGGTTCCCCGGGGTTCCTTGGTTTTGTTTCACTACATGGCGTTGCCCGGGTACCCCATGGTTCCTGGGCCGTGGTTCCTTGGTTCCGTATGTTGTGCCTTGGTATTGGTTCCGCGTTTCCTTGGTCTGTGTTCTCGGTCCCTTCATCTTGATGTCTTGGGTTCTTGGAATTCGCCCGTTGGTTCCTCGGAATTGGATCGTTGGTTCCTCTGTCTTGGCCCGTCGGTTCCTTGGCCTTGGTTCCTGCGTTCCTTGGTCTTCGTTATGGATTATTGGTCTTGGTTCGCAGGCTCCTTGGTCTGAGTGTGCCTGGTTCCTTGACCTCTGACCCTTGATTCCTCGACTCCTTGGATCCTCGGTGTCTTGGCTCCTTGGTTCCTTGGGGCTGGCTCCTTGGTTCCTTGGTCTTGATACCTCGGTTACTTGGTACTGGTTATGTTCCTCGGTCTTGGGTTCGTGGTTCCTCAGTCTTGGATCCCTGATCTTGGTTCCCTGGTCTTGGTTCATTGATCTGTGCGTTCCTGTGACTCGGTCTTGGTTCCTTGATTCTTCAGTACCTCGGTCTTGGTTTCTTGGTCGTTTTTTCTTGGTTCCTTGAACTTGGATCCGTGGTTTGGGTTCCTTGGGCTCTTTGTGTTGGTTCCTCGGCTCCTCTGTTGTCTTTGTTGGTGGTTCCTTATTTCCTCGGCCCCTTGGTCCCAACTCATTGGCTCATGGGTCGTGGTTTCTTGGCCTTGGCTCGTTGGTTCCTCGGCCCTGGGTCCTGGATTCCTTGGTCTTGGCTCCTGTTCCTCGGTCTTGGTGTCTTGGTTCCTCGGCCCTGGATGCTTGATCTCGATTTCTTGGTTCCTTGGTATTGATTACAATATTATTTGGCCTTATGTACTTCCTTATTCGCTTGCGAACTGGTGGGAACGTTTCGCGTGTTACCTCGCGTGCACCGCCCACAACAATCGTAGCCATCATGTTACCAGGCCGTCATACTACCACGATGTGTTGTGCACGCGCGTTCTTGGCTAAGTACGACGCTGCGTGCTTTGATTTACTTACTTGCGTGCTCGCTTCTTTGCTTATTCCTGCTTGCTCTGGAACCTGTTTTCCACATTGGGGTCGCACTGGGCCCACCTTCTAAACAATCAGACCTTGTATCAGGTGTTCGGAGATATCCGAAGTCTCCAAGTGGATCCAGGGGTTGCTGACGGATCCTGGAGGGCTCTCCTTAGACGCAGAAAGGACGACGCAGAGCAGAAGGGAGGCATAATTAGAGGCGAGGAAGTCGGAGGAGAAGGAAGTAAGGGGGCGTGCGACGGAGGAGGGAGGAACGAGCAGGACCATGATAAAGAGGAGGGAGAAGGGACCAGTGTAAATCCAAGACGCACCAACGATGTTGCAAGACACTCTCCCTCCACACTTCCTCTTCACACGTCCTTGCGAGAACGTCTTTCCGTTGCGGGCACTGCCCCATTGGAAAACAAACGTTTGAGAACTCTCAATCGTACCAGAACAAGGTTCCTGGCACTTCGACGCCACGAATCAACGTGACAGCTGCGTCCTGACAAGCCTAGAATCGTCGTGCCAGGACGCCATCCCAGGCACTTCGACACCGCGAATCACCGTGACTGCTTTGCCCCGAAAGACCTGAACGTGCCAGGATACCTTTTTTTTCTCGGGGACTTCCACCCTACGAGTCCTTGAAAATGTTGCAGGCTTCACGGGCGAATGTGCGAGGCTCCAGCCGAAGAGCTGCATGCGGATAACGGGCCGCCCTCCATGCTTTAGCTGCTGCAAGCGTTTAAGGCGACTGTGCGCGGCGGTGATGCGAGAGCGACGTTCTAAGAATGGACCGCCTTCATCCTTAGAACCGGCGCAGGTGCACGTTGCAAATGGCGGCATCAGATGTTAGCCAGCGCAAGCCCCAAACAATGTGTTTCTAACAACCTCCGCTGTACAAAACATGCTGTGCAACCTATGTCATGCAATCTATGTGATGCACCGTGTGTTGTGCAAACTGAATTGTGCAATCTGTGTGGTGCGCGATCTATGTGGTGCAGTCGGCATGGTGCAATATATGTTGCGCAACGTAGCTTGTGCAAACTATGTGGTAACATCTACGTGATGCAATCAATGTGTGCAACACGCGTTGTGCAACATAGGTTGTGCAACCGACGTCGTGCAATCTATGTTGTGCAATGTATGTGGCGCAGTGTGTGTTTGTGTGTGCACTCTATGTTGTATGATCTATGTGGTGCAATGTATGTTGTGCCAATCGACGCGGCGCAATCGACGCAGCGCAATATGTATACAGATGTAAGCTATATGTATACATGGTGCGACCAGTGTTGTGCAACATACGCGGTGCAAACTATGTGGTGCCATCTGTTTGCGCCATCCATGCCGTGCAACCTACGTGGTGCAATGTATGTTGACTATATCTATGTTGCGCAGTCGACGTTGTCGAATCTATGGGGTGCGATGTGTGTGTGTGTGATGTAACTACTGTTTGCCGCAGTGACCTGTCAGTTCCACTGCTCGAGCAATCATCCCACGCACCCACCCGCGACGTGGCTTGCAGAATCCATGCGGCGGCGGTTGCGATGAGGGCCTGGCGCTGGCCGGCGCGTCGCTTCGGTCGCGCCAGCGCGCGCGGGCTCCCGCGCAGAGCGGCCAGCTGCTCTAACGCGACCGACGCGGCCACGATAAGGCTGACCGCTGGTCAGCCGCATCGAATCCTCCCTCCGACCGTCTTCCCCCCCCCCCCCCCCCCCCCCCCCCCCCCCCCCCCCCCCCCCCCCCCCCCCTGTAACTCCCCCACGACCACGAACTTTCCCTCCAAGCCCTCCCTCCAATTATCTAGCCCTCACTCGAGCACTCCGTCCTGCACTGCCTACAACCTTCCCTCCAAACCTTCATCCAGCCCTCCCTCCAGCTCTCCCTCCAGCCCTCCCGCCATCCCTCCCGCACTGCAGCGGTGCTCATGCGTCTCGTGGTGCTCTCAGGCGTCGAACCCTCCCCACCCTTCCTACCCTCCCTTCAAACTTCTCTCCACCACCCTTCCCTCCAACCCTCCCTGCACCCACCACTCTAACTCTACCTCAAACGCTCCGTCCAATTCCTCCTTCCTACTCTCAAGCCCTCCATCCAATCTTCCCTCCAACCCTCCCTCCAACCTTCCCTGCAATCCTTCCTCCAGCCCTCCCTACTGCCCTGGAACCTTTCCGCCAACCCTCCATTCCCTTCAAACCTCCCCCTCCCTCCAAGCCTCGCTCCTTCTAGCGGTGCTCATGCGTCCTGTGGTGCTCCCATGCCTTGGCGGTTGCTTTTGACAGGCAGCCAGCGGGGCACAAAACAATGTAGCCAGCGAGGTGGCCAGCGAGGACTTCAAAAAGGCGGTCAACGAAGCAGTCAACGAGATAGCGAACGGGGCAGCCGGTGAGGCAGCCAGCGAGGCAACCAACGAGGTAGCCAACCAAGCAGCCGACCGATGTAACGAACAAGTGGAGCACAGAGGGGCTCACGCTACGACTGCCACTCTGCAATCGGCCTGGCTAGAGCACAGCGCAGTGGTGTGAATCATACGGGGACGCATGCCCCAACTGACAACGTGAAGGGGGTACGGCCGTTGGGGCAAAACATGCCCGCCAAGCATAATGGACAACGCTGCTGTGTCCAGAACTCCCCTGCCCCCCAATTTCAATGCTGAAGACGGGTATACCTTGGCGGTGGAATTTTGGGCGTTTTCTGTATGCCGATGCTTGCACCCCGACAACGGCCGCGAACGCAACACTGAAATGAGGGGGTCCAGGGGCGGCACCGTCGAAGCAACGTCTGTGGCTGGCGTCTTTTAACGCCAGCAGCGGTATGGGCCGCGAAGCGCTGTACTGAGTGTGGGAGACAAATGCGAACTTTGCCAGTGGGGCCTCGGGTGGAGCTCCCTATGGGGCCACGAAGCGCTGTATGTACTGAGTGCGGGAGACCGATGCGGACACCGCCGCTGGGGCCTTCGGTGAAGCTCCCTATGAGGCCACGGAACGCTGTGCTAAGTGGGAGAGAGACGCATGCGAACACCGTGTGGTAGACGCGTGGGAACACCGCCACTGGGGACTTCGGTGGAGCTCCCTATGGGGCCACAAAGCGCTGTACTAAGTGGGGGAGACGCACGCGGCGAACTTTGCCATTGGGGCCTTGGGTGGAGCTCCCTACGGGGTCACGAAGAGCTGTACTGAGTGGGGGGGACGCATGCGAATACCGCCAATGAGTCTTTCGGTGGAGCTTCTATGGGGCCACGAAGCGCTGTACTGGGTGGGGGAAACGCATGCGAACACTGCCACTGGGACCACTGGTGGAGCTCCCCAATGTGGCCACGGAGCGCTGTACTGGGTGGGGGAGACGCGTGCAAACACGGCCACTGGGGCCTTCGGTGGAGCTCCCCATGGGGGGCGCGAAACAATAACGACGGTGATGGCGATGACGGCGACGACGAGGATGACAATGATGATGATGATGATGATGATGATGATGAGGATGAGGATGAGGATGAGGATGATGATGATGATGATGATGATGATGATGATGATGATGATGATGATGAAAATGATTATGGTGATGATGCTGATGATGATGGTAAGGATGATGACTATGATGATGATGATGATGATGATGATGATGATGATGATGATGATGATGATGATGATGATGACGGTGATGATGACAGTGGTGATGACAGTGATGGTGCTGCTGGTGGTGATGATGATGATGGCGATGACGGTGGTGATGATGATGATGCTGCTGCTGCTGCTGATGATGATGATGATGATGGTGACGATCATAATAAAAACGGTGGTCATGGGAGGAGGGGGCAGCGGGAGGAAGGAAGGAATGCGAGGTGCTCTCTTCAAAACGGAGACCCAACGCCACAAGATGGTTGGGAAAAAGGTGTTGCATCTTCGGGTGATCTTGTCTGTCCAGTCGCGCCGCGATCCGCATTCTATCCGTTCGAAGCGCGTTGGGTCCACGTTGGACTCACGTCCCCGCGTCGTATCCGCGCCGGCTGCACGCCGAATTCGCACCGACCACGCGTCGCAGATCAGGAAACGCCGCGCCTTATAGGACGGACCAGGTCCCCGAAACTGCAACGTAAAGAATAAGGGGGAAGTCCTTGGACAGCTGCTGCAGCCGAGCACACCGGGGCCAGATCGGAAGGGTCACCCTCTAGCCGAGCAGGGCCGAGCAGGGCCGGAAAACGACTCGGCAGCGGCGGCGGGGGGGCAGGGCGACTCGTTCGACCACGCGCTCCCCCCCATGGGTCCGGGGATCCTCCCGGACCCCCGAGCGCACGAAACCCTTCCTTTGGGAGCGTGGCCCTCGGGTGCTTGGGGAATCCCTCGCCCGCAGGAAGACGAGGCGGGGGCCGAACGACTCGGCGGCGGCGGCGGGCCGAATGGAAAGGGCGCCCCGCCCACAGGCCGACGCAAGAAGATCGACACTTCGGGCGCAGTCCACACCGCTCCAAAGAAGGCACCAGGCCCACAACGCTCCAAGGCCCCAACTGCAAGGGGAGAGCCACAGGAAGAGGGAACGAACAAGTGAACGCTTCGGGCCCTCGAAGCCCAACAGCTTGCCCAAGAGAAGGAGGCGGGAGATGGGACACGGAACGGAGGAGGCGAGGGGCGGATGGGAGGAAGGAGGAGGACGGGGACGAGGGAGAAGGGGGCAAGGCCGAGGGATGCTATAGAGGAAGGGCGAGCGAGGAGGGCAAGGGATGCTACAGATGAGGGGCGAGTGGGACGAAGAGGGAACCAGGGAGGAGGGGGAGGGGGAGAGGAGGAGGGGAGGAGGGGAGGAGGAGGAGCAGCAGGAGAGGAGGAGGAGGAGGAGGAGCGAGGGAGATGAGAGAAGGAGTGGGAAACGAGGGGGTAGGATATGAGAGGGAGCAGGAGATGACCCGAGGTCAGGCGAAAAAGAGTAGGACATGAGATGACGGCCGTATCTCATTGCCTCCAACATCACCTCCCTTCCCCATCCCCGCCTCCCTCTCTCCAATATACTTCCCTACCGTCCCCACCGACGATAAGGCTGACGATGCCCGAGAAACAAACCATGGGCTTCCAATCGCTGACCTGAAGGAATGAATATCCACTCGTACACAACCAATAAGAGACAATCATCGTAGAAGAAACGAAGCCACCGAGCGCGACAAAGTTGAACATCTGAAGAGCTCCTGTCATGTCGTTCCTGGCGGCCCTAGCTCCTGCCATCTGCTTCGTGGCGAAAAGGTCGTGGACTCTACGCGCTGAATCACAAAACCCGTACGAATGGATGGCCATATCCATGTACGCCTCCGTGCCGGTATACTTCAAGAAACGGTCATAACATCTGATACTCAGGCACGGCCCGCAGAGAGCTCGCACGCACCTTATGCACGGAATATCATCGCGGCCTTCCTCGACAACACGCATACACCCTCGAAGGACACCAAACGCCATACTCAATATTGACCCCAACGAGATGCTACCCAGATGATAGCGCACAGCACTGTAATAAGCACTCAGAAGAGCTCCTCTGCGCACTGGGGCATCATCGCCAGAGTCTATCGCCTTTTTCCTGTAGTACCACATCTGCGCCTTAGGAGCACACCCCCGACGCAAGCCGCGCAACGCGAGACAACAAGCTCAAATGTGCAAATGGGGCGGTGAGCAAGTGGTGGCGGTCTGGCCGCTCCCCATGAGCAGTGAGGGGCCGGGGAGCTTCACCAACGGAGGGGTGCCAAGCCGGCTTGCTCCCCAGGCCGTCTGGCTGGAAGGGGGGCGGAGCGAAGGCGGACATTTCGAAGCGGCGAGGGTTGACGATTCAAGGCTAGGGGAACGAAGAATGACATAAACATAAAACTCGAAGGTCCGCGCGGAGTTCTCGGATCCAAGAAATCCGCGCGAACCTCCGAGTTTTTATGTTTATGCCATTCTTCGTTCCCCTAAAGGAGGTGGACGGCTGTGGATTTGACGCGCCCGCAGTGGGCTTCTTAGCACCAAGCGGCCTGCGTGAACCCGTTAGCGTGCGCTACAAAATCTGTACACCACAACGGTTGCGTACATCTCGGAGCCTGTGTAGACTGCATCAGACACTCCCAGGCGCGCACAATTGACCGCGGTCCTTACAGAGCGCACGAACGATCACAGACCATCCCAATGTCAAGCATCCGCAATGTCGGCATCGGGGGCATCTGCGAGCAGAAGCCTCCTCGCATGATCGCCTTAACGCACGTGGCGAAGGGCGGCAGGCTGGAGAACTGGCGAACGACAGGTTCTGTCGGCACTGCGTGGCAGCAATAGTTATCCTGCTTTTATGCATGCAGGTTTGCATGGGCTAGAACCGAATGGAAAGACGAGCACGTCATCATCGTCGGGATATGCGACGACGGCGCAGACGGCGACGACGACGACGGCGACGACGATGACGAGGAAGGCGGCGACAGCGGCGACGGTGACGACAATAATGACGGCGACAACGACAAGCATGCTGATCCGCCTGCATACCGCGGTTGCAAATCGTTTCCAAGCGTGTTCTTGTGTTACGCTCTTGAATCGGCTCGTCGTGACAACCGGCGAAGCCTCAAATTAGTCAATCATATACCCGTCTGCAATGTAGCGGTGGGGGATGGCAAGTAAGCGCGTAGTTTCCTCGACCAATTTTTACCAGCAACCCCTCGCCACCACCAAGACAAGCCCTAAGCAAATGGGGTGGGAGGTTTTGCCGCATCGCCACCCCGCATGACTTCCCGGTATGAGCCTGATCCCGATGCCGACAACAAAATCAAATTCAAACCACGGATCGCAATGCTGATCGAGGCCAGGTCAACCGTCCCGATCCGAAACGATCGACGCATCGACCAGACAAGCGGCATGACGGAACCCTGATCAACAGGCCAGGGTCTTCTAAGACGAGAGCCGAATACGACAACACATACATCGATACGTGGTGAAGTGTCCAAAGCAAAGACACCGATAGGAACACCCAGAAAACGGTAACAATGATCTGCTCCGTTGTGAAAACAAACTGGTCAATGAAGCCATCGACTTCTCTGACCGAATTGGACATGAGCATGATGAACAGAGTGGACGACCACGCTAACACGATCATCTTGCCGAGCACTCCCACAATCGGCTCGATGAGTAGGCTCGGTGCTTCGAAGATGCATTCTGCAGCCGCCTCGATGCAAGAAATTGACGTGTCCAGCGCTCCGCATAGGATCGTCCCTGCGATCATAAAGATACAAGAAAGGGAAATATGGACACTAAGCGCTATGTAATCGCTTTGATAATCTCCAGAGGTGTATTTGGCATCATGCCTTTCTGTACCCAGCATCAGCTCCTTCCCGAGCTGGTACGCAAAGTAGAGGGGGATCAGGACCTCGATGGCGATGAACACATGCACTATGAACTTTGCGCACTCCTTGTGCTCGAGGAAAAACAGGAACACATACCCCAACACAATGACATACACCGACGTGATGACCATGACCCGCCAGTCCTTCGGGAGACCTAAACAGGACATGAGCAGAAGAACTCGAAAGCCTGCGCGGACTTCTCGGATCGGCGCTGGACCCCCCTCCTGTACGGTAGCGCCGGAGGCGCCGCCACGGGGGCTCCAGCGCCGATCCGAGGAATCCGCGCGGACCTCCGAGTTGTTCTGCGCATGTCTCGTTAAAGGCTTAACGACTTCTGCCGTCCTTCGACTCGCGCTGGAGCGGCCGCGAAGTGCTCGAACTTTCCCTGGAGATCTCTGGATTTACCTGGATTTACCCAGATTTATCTAGATTTACCTGGATTTACCTCGATTTATCTGCATTTACCTGGGTTTATCTGGCTCGATTCTCACGAGTCGATTGGCGAAAAGTCGACAAGCCCTTAGGGAATGTCAGTGCTTGCTCCCTCATCCTTGATCAGGGCCAGGATCACGCGGATCGCCTCGCCGCTCCAGCTGGTGGCCCCGATCATGCGCCGGGCCTCGGCACGCAGGCCTGGGTCCTTCGGCATGCAGAACGTCGCCGTGCGGACATCATTTTCGGGGAGACGTAAGACTCGGGTTCGGGGGACTCGGGTTGGCCGTACGGGGCCAGCATGACGCTGGCGAGACCCAATATGAGATTTGACGCGAACTCCCGCTGCAAACATCACACGAAAACTGGACCGCCAAAGTCCAGGACGCGTGCCTCAAAAAGCGTCGGCAGACCCGAGTTCCGGCGTACTCGAGCCTTACGCTTCCCCGACCTTTGCCTGCCCGTACCTGCCACTTGGGAACGTCGCGTAGTCTGGCACGTTCTGCTCGAACTGCAGATCGGGGTCATAGCAGGGGTGAAGCGTTGTCGAGCTGGTTGGGCAGTCGCTCCTGCATACCCTGTAGTTGAGGTTCAGGTGTCCGGTGGCCACCCCATACGTGTCGAGCTCACCCGGTAGCATGCAAAAGAACAGCAGCTTCCTGTCTGGATGGGAGCACTGGTCGCCCCTGCTGTCGGTCGGGGTCGGGAAGAACCTGCGAAGGTGCGCGTCCAATTCGCTCAGGTGCGTGTACCTGCCATGGGACTGCTGGGTGCACACGGCGCCAAAGCTGACCAGCCCCATCCTGGGTCCTGGATCCGGTTTGTAGACCGCAGACCCTGGGACAGACTCTGGTTCTTCCACGTCGTTCCCACCATCCTCCAAATCTCGCGCCTCCCCCTGCTGCTCCTCTTTTGCATCCTCATCGTCCACCGCATACTCCTCCTAATCCCGCGACTGCTCCCTCTGCTCCTCCCCTTCCTGCCGCCGCTTCTTCCTCCTCCATTTCCTGGGCCAAGATGACCACAAGACCCCAGCCTGGAGGTGGAGGAGGAGGAGGAGGAGGAGGCCTGGAGTGCCAGTGTGCACTCTGACCTCCAGCGTATCGAAATCATCGCGTTGGAGGGCTTCGCCATCTTCGGCGTTCGGCCCCAGGACCGCCAGCCAGCACTCAGGACGAGACGCTGGCCCCAGGGAGCGGGCCGAGGGGCCCGGGGGGGCCACGCTGCCGGGGAGTCGGGCCGCCGCGTGTCCGAGCGGTTGGCCGCTCGACCTCACGAACACGAAAGCGCCGCACGCGATCTGGGCCACTAGCAGGATGAGCCAGCCCCAGTCGGTGGTCTCGTGCTGCCTCGCCCCCGGGGCGCTCAGCAGGGTGTCCTCCTCGTCCTCGCCCTGTGCGGGGGGGGAGGTGCGCCGGGGGCGGCGGCGGCCTCACGGCGGGGGGGGCACGCGGCGCCATGCGGGCTGCCATCGCTGGAGAAAATGAGTGAGGTCTGCATGGAAGTCGACTCCTCCTCCTCCTCCTCCTCCTCCTCCTCCTCCTCCTCCTCCTCCCCCCTCCTCCTCCTCCTCCTCCTCCTCCTCCTCCTCCTCCTCCTCCTCCTCCTCCTCCTCCTCCTCCTCCTCCTCCTCCTCCTCCTCCCCTCCGCGCTCGTGCCCGTGAGGTCGGGCGGCCCACTGCGAGAAAGACAAAACTGGGAAAACAGGAAGGTACCGATACCACTACTGTGTATGGGGTGAGAGTACAAAGGTACAGAACCCCTGATCCGTAGGTAGAGATCCGTAGGCAGAGGAAGGAGGGACAGACAGGGATCTTTTCCTCCTGTGCGACCAGCGTCCTGGTCTCTTCCAGTACCTGAGCCGATAAGGCAGGTAAAAAGGCGAGTGAGGAGTAGAGATGAGGGTCTGAGACGGGTTCCTTTCACAACTACTCCCCGGACCTCCCTGGGTGGCTTCTGACCAAAGCTTCGAGGCGACTCCTGCGGCGGCGGCGGCGGCGAGGGCCTCCCAGGAAGCCCAAAAGGGGGAAACCGAGGCGAGGGTAGCGGTATCGCTGCCCTATAAACATTCCCTTGCGTAGATCCACGTGGATGTCTTGGGTTCGCGCTGAGCTCCCCTGGTGGCGCCTCGCCAGTCCGCTCGGATTTTTCTCGGATCGGCACCGGACCTCGGAGCCCTCCAGGGGCCGCGCCGGATCAAAAATATGCCAAAAGCTTGTCAAATAGTCAAAAAATGCGTTCAAAGTCGTTCCAAGACAATGTTTTGACTATGTTTGAGTATTCCTCCTGTGGAGGGACGTGCCCGACTTAAAGCTACGACAATGTATGTTGATGCAGCTTTGTCTTCGTCGAGGTTGGCCGCCCGACCTCACGAATACGAGCGCGAAGGGCCCAGCGCAGATCCGAGAGAAATCCCCGCGGGCCTTCGGACGCGGATTGGCATTCCACAGTTGCGTTCCGCTAGAGGGTTCTCGTAGCAATAAAGACAGACAGCAGAAGAGTCCCACAAAGGGGACGGGGGGGAGGTAGGATGTTCCAGCTACATACGTGGTCTGGACGGCAATCATTCCTTATACAGCACTGCACTAGAACTAAACTGTGCGCATCTGTTGCTACCGTTAGGGTGTTTCTGGGGGGACTGAGCGGGCTGGGCCCCGAGAAAATTGGTTAAGAGAGGGGGGGGGGAAGCCAAATCCGCTCAACCACTGTTCCCAGACCCCTCTCGGATTTCCTTTGGTGTGGGTTTCCACCCAAGGTCCAGTTTTTGACAATCCTGGAGCACGAACGCCGCCCCAGGCGGCCGAAAAAAGCCCCCTAACCCCTCGAACCAGAGCCCCAACCCAGAACCTCAAACCTCGCCGCCCTTCGTGCTGGCAGGAACCGGCCCCTGGCCGCCTGGGACCCCCCAGCCCGCTCCGAAAACCGCGTGCAGAGACCGCTGCCGATGCGGCGCGCGAGTCCCCTCGCGCGCTCGAGCACTGCTTTGGACGCCCGAAATGGGTACGGAAAAAATGGGCACAGTGCCCAACAACAACTGCTGTCCCAAACCAACAGCGGCCGCCGTTGGGCAGGCGGCCCCCCGCCTCGAACGGCCACAGGCCGCGGCGGCGCGGACAGCGAGCCCTGCTCAGAATGAACAGGGACTGCTGTTGGGCCTCGTACCCATGCTTTCCGTGCCCACTTCGGGCGTCCAGAACTGCCCCCTCGCGCGAGGAGCCGGCCCTGGCGCCGTGCGCCGACCCGCGCGCGAGAGCTGCGCGGCGAGGCCGCTGCCGACGCGGCGCGCGGGTCGTCCCCCGCGCGCGCAGGCGCCGCCCAGCCGCGCAGGGACTCTGCCAGGCGCCGCGCGCCGAGGCCAGCGCAGAGAGCGGCGCTCCGAAGCTTGCGCCGATGACGCGACGCAGCTGCGCCACTGCGCATGGCGCGACGCGCGCGCGCGGCATGCGGTCAGTCTCAGGTCGGGCCTGTCCTCCTGCAGGGGGATTTTCGACGAAAAATGAAAAATACCCCCAACAATACCCCAAAAAGGTAAACAAGTACTCAAAAAATAATCCCCAGACTATGCTTGGACTATTTTTTGATTATCTTTGGGGGTATTTTGTTATTTTTCGTCGAAAATCCCCCTGTAGGGGGACACGTTCGACTTAAGGTCAGTCGCGCACCGCCTGCGCGATACGGTGGGGACATTGGATGAGGAACCCTCAGATTAGGAACCCAGGGTCTGGAAGCCAGCGGGACTCCCATCGAGGCTTGGCCATGGGCATTACCGCCGCCCTCGTCGGATAAGGAATCCTCCAGGGTCTGCAGCCTCCTGGGCGCAGCCCTTGACCAGCACCCCCACCGCATCTCACTTGCGGAGCAGAGCACGGATCATCGCGAGACCCCCTCGAGAACGCGCGCGCCCAGCCGTGCAGCGAGGCCAAACCTCCCTCGCGGAGCTGCCCCCCGCGCGAAAAAACACGCATTGCGGTCCACGTCCGCCTCCGACGCGGCGCGCGGATCCTCCCCCGCGCGCTCGAGAGCGCCGCCCAAGAGCGCGAGAAGTCAGCTCTGCGCCGCGTGCCGGCCCCCCAGCGCGAAACACCGCGTGCCGTTGCGGGTGTGGCGCATCTGCGCCACCGCGCACGGCGCGACGTGCGCGGCCTCTGCCCAATCGCGCGACGACGCACGAGACTTCAATCGCGGCGCGTGACCCCGAAACCCATAGTCGCACAGCGAGGTCTCTGCGGATGCGACGCACGTCATCTTCCCCCATGGAAGTTGGGGCGGCGTGGGGGTAGAGGCGAGGAGGGTGCTCCACCTCGTGCCCTGGTGCGCAGCCGAGACGGGTGTGGGCGGGGGCTGGGACACGAGCATCGCGAGCGCGCACAGGAGCGGCTCATCCCCTGCAAGCCTGTTGAGAGGGTGGGATGCGTGCGACAAATTATGAGCTATGAGTGGAAGGAGGAGGGATCAGTGGAGCGAGGGAAGGAGACGGTCCTCGGTCGTTGCCGGAGTCCCAAACCAGGGACAACCAGAACGAAATCGGAGGAGGTTGGCTGCCCCCCGTGAGCGCTCACCCCCATCACGTGCGCCCCGATCTTCTCCCCCGTTGCAGCCTCCAGGTCTTCCGCGTCCTCTTCGCCCACCTCCGACGGCAGCACCGGCTCCTCGTCCTCGTACTGCGCCTCGTCCTCGAGCTCGCCCTCCTCCTCGTAGTCCTGCTGGCCAGCAACCAGAGATCTGCACAGCACAGCCAAGATCATTCAACAAGCTGCGGTGCCCCTTCCCTGTGTGTGTGTGTGTGTGTGTCGGAGTGCGAGCTTTTCAGCTCGCGCGGATCTCATCTTCGCGCGCGGGAGCGCGCCGGCTGCCTCGGCCACGTGATGGTGTTGTCGATTCCTCCCAGCTCTTCATGCGGGATGACGATGAATGAAAAAACGGGAGAGAACGATTAACATACATAGTTTTCTGCTATTTCTGCATAATTTCTGACTGGATGAGAACGATACAAAAATAGTTTTCCAGCCCGCGGCCGGTTTCTTCTAATCGTCATCCCGGGCGCCGCCGCGTGAACACGACCCCCGGTCATTTATCAATCGCCATCCTCCATTATTCTTGTCCTTGTCCTACGCGCTGGGGGGGGGGCGGCCCAGCGGGGGCCCGTCTGCGGGGGCTCCACGGCGTCGCGGGGGGGGGGGGGGCGGGGAACACCATGTTTTTCCTCGGGGACCCCAAGGCTGAACGTAACATGCCGCATTAATCCGCCGACCCCTTGGGGATCATCGGCGTGTGAGAGAACTTCCCCCTCCCCACCCCCTCCCCCCGGAGCCCGGTCTGGTCGATTTGGAGGGGGGGGCCGTCCGGCCCGAGCTCATGAGGGGGGTCCGACCCGTCCCGGGCTCCTTTTGGAGGTCCACGACAGCTTCTGGGGCCGCCCAAGAGGCCCCCAAGGCGGTTCAAGAGGGCCCCGAGACGCCGAAAGATCGTTCCAAGACGCCTAACATGGGCCGAAAGATCTTTCCAAGACGCCTAACATGGGCCGAAGAGGCCCAAGAGGCCGCCAAGACGTTCCAAGAGGCCTCCCAGGAGGCCTCACAGCGCGGAAGCCCTTCCAAGATGCCTCCAAGACCGTCCCAAGACGGCCCCATAGGCTCCCAAGAAGCCCCCAACACGGCACAAGAGGCGCCCAAAACGACCCGAAAGGGCTCCAAGACGGCCCCAAGAGGGGCCCGAAAGGGGGACTAAAAAACGAACATTCCAGCCGTCCGCCCCTAGAGGCTCCCAGGAGGCCACAAGATGCTCCAAAAAGGCGTCCAGACATCCCCAAAAGGCCGCCAAGAGGCCCCAAGAGGCTCCCCAGAGGCCTCCAAGAGGTCCCAAGGGGCCCCAAGAGGCCCCCAAGTCGGCTTCGGTATACGATGGTTCGGCCTTCACAGCGCGGAAGACCCCAGGACCGTCGGAGATCGATCGGCGATGAAGAACTGCACCGGATGGACCACGGGAGCGGCCCTGGGCTGGACCCCTGAGGCCTCCAAGATGCTTCCCCAAAAGACCCCAAGCACAAAGAGCGAAAAATATATTTTCAGCAGGTTCGCCTTTTGACACCAGGAGGGCTCCACGACGGCAAAAGGACCACCAGGAGAGCTCCAAGACGGACAGAGAGACTCCCAGTCAGCCGGACGGAGAATTGGAACGGACACTTCGAACCTTCGGCTCCAAGACGCCCCCAACGTGCCCCAGGGACCCCCAGGAAACCCCGCAAAAAAAATATCCTGGCGAAGGACCCAACCATATGCAGTTGTGAGTATCGCAATTGTGAGTATCTTCTTCGGTGGCGCTCCCTATGGGGCCACGAACCGCATGAGGGGTGTGCCGAAATGTGGCGGGGTACACAACGCAAAGGAATACGATAGATCTGATTACGAGAGAAAGAACGCGGGTGAGTCAGAGCGCGAGGGAATCTGAGTATGAATGGGTCTGCGCGCGAGTGAATATATTTGCATGAATGCGATCATGGAAACGCCTAGTGTAAGTGTATATGAATGTGAATGGTTCGAGCATGCCTGTCCGAACACACGTGACACTGGGCGTGGCCGCCGCAGGCAGCTTCCGCGGGAACCCCGACGGCAGCGTCCGCACGTCGCGACGCCCATGTCGGCACGCCTCTTGCGAGGATCGCGCCCGCTTTCGGCTCTTCTTTTCCTTCCTCTTTGCCCGCGCACTCCAAAATCCAAGGCTGCGGGCGCGGCGCAGCGCGGAGTCCCCGCGACGCGCGCTGGTCGCCCCGGGCGGGGCCCCAGCGACGCGCGCGGGTCGTCCGCTGCGCGAAGCAGAGAGAGCTGACTAGCTAACTGGCTGGCTGATAGCGGGCAAGTCTCTGACCGCTGGGCAGAGCGACGACGGGCGAACGAGGCGCCGGGCCCCCCGCAGCACGGAGTTCCCGCGACGCGCGCTGGTCGCCCCGAGAGGGTCCCAGCGACGCGCGCGGGTCGTCCGCGGCGCGAGGCCAAACAATTAGTCGGGCAGTCGAGAGAAGGCGCGGCTCGGGGGAGACGCTCCTCAGGTCAGGCCTCGCGGATGAACTCGGTGAAGCCGAGCTCCCTGGCGAGGGCCGTCGCTTCCCTCCTGCACCGCTTCGTGCGCGCAGCAAACTGCTCCAGCTGTTTCCGCAAGCCCTGCGGCGGCCCTGCCAGGAAAAACTCGATGCGCGGCGCCCGCATGAGCAGGAGGTCCTCGTGGCGCGTGGCGCGCGAGAGCAGCACGTAGAGCTCCAGCCACCAGTCGTCGTCCTCCTTCTTGCCGTTCCCTACCTCGTGGCGGCCGCAATCCAGGATCACGCCTGGGCGACGTCGACCGAGGGAGCAGCGCGCCGGGCAGCCGACGGCCCAGGGCGAGAGTCCACAGGACCGAGAGATGGTCTGGCCGCGGACTGCTCGCGCCCCGGAGGTCTGGCCGCCCCCGGAGCGCCGTTCCCCGCCCCGTCGCCTTCGCGCATGGTGCGCCCCTGGCACGCCACCGTGGTGATGACCCTGCCGTGCGAGAAATGCAAGGGGGGTGCCGAAATGGGTGGGGGTGACGCATGCGGGCGGCGGCACTGAGGCCTTCGGTGGAGCTCCCTATGGAGCCACGAAACGTGTGAGGGGTGTGCCGAAATGGGTGTGGGTGACGCATGCGGCCGCGGGCACTGGGGCCTTCGGTGGAGCTCCCTATGGAGCCACGAAACGTGTGAGGGGTGTGCCGAAATGGGTGTGGGTGACGCATGCGGCCGCGGGCACTGGGGCCTTCGGTGGAGCTCCCTATGGAGCCACGAAACGTGTGAGGGGTGTGCCGAAATGGGTGTGGGTGACGCATGCGGCCGCGGGCACTGGGGCCTTCGGTGGAGCTCCCTATGGAGCCACGAAGCGTGTGAGGGGTGTGCCGAAATGGGTGTGGGTGACGCATGCGGCCGCGGCCACTGGGGCCTTCGGTGGAGCTCCCTATGGAGCCACGAAACCCGAAATGCGCACTGAATGGAGCGGCCTGGGGTGTGAAATGGGTGTGAGGGGTGACGCATGCGGCCGCGGGCACTGGGGCCTTCGGTGGAGCTCCCTATGGAGCCACGAAACGTGTGAGGGGTGTGCCGAAATGGGTGTGGGGACGCATGCGGCCGCGGGCACTGGGGCCTTCGGTGGAGCTCCCTATGGAGCCACGAAACGTGTGAGGGGTGTGCCGAAATGGGTGTGGGTGACGCATGCGGGCGCGGGCACTGGGGCCTTCGGTGGAGCTCCCTATGGAGCCACGAAACGTGTGAGGGGTGTGCCGAAATGGGTGTGGGTGACGCATGCGGGCGCGGGCACTGGGGCCTTCGGTGGAGCTCCCTATGGAGCCACGAAACGTGTGAGGGGTGTGCCGAAATGGGTGTGGGTGACGCATGCGGGCGCGGGCACTGGGGCCTTCGGTGGAGCTCCCTATGGAGCCACGAAACGTGTGAGGGGTGTGCCGAAATGGGTGTGGGTGACGCATGCGGGCGCGGGCACTGGGGCCTTCGGTGGAGCTCCCTATGGAGCCACGAAACGTGTGAGGGGTGTGCCGAAATGGGTGTGGGTGACGCATGCGGGCGCGGGCACTGGGGCCTTCGGTGGAGCTCCCTATGGAGCCACGAAACGTGTGAGGGGTGTGCCGAAATGGGTGTGGGTGACGCATGCGGCCGCGGGCACTGGGGCCTTCGGTGGAGCTCCCTATGGAGCCACGAAACGTGTGAGGGGTGTGCCGAAATGGGTGTGGGTGACGCATGCGGCGCGGGCACTGGGGCCTTCGGTGGAGCTCCCTATGGAGCCACGAAACGTGTGAGGGGTGTGCCGAAATGGGTGTGGGGGACGCATGCGGCCGCGGGCACTGGGGCCTTCGGTGGAGCTCCCTATGGAGCCACGAAACGTGTGAGGGGTGTGCCGAAATGGGTGTGGGTGACGCATGCGGCCGCGGGCACTGGGGCCTTCGGTGGAGCTCCCTATGGAGCCACGAAACGTGTGAGGGGTGTGCCGAAATGGGTGTGGGTGACGCATGCGGCCGCGGGCACTGGGGCCTTCGGTGGAGCTCCCTATGGAGCCACGAAACGTGTGAGGGGTGTGCCGAAATGGGTGTGGGTGACGCATGCGGCCGCGGGCACTGGGGCCTTCGGTGGAGCTCCCTATGGAGCCACGAAACGTGTGAGGGGTGTGCCGTATTGGGTGTTGATGATGATGATGATGATGATGATGATGATGATGATGATGATGATGATGATGATGATGATGATGATGATGATGATGATGATGATGATGATGGGAGGGGGGAGGAGGCAGCGGGAGGAAGGAAGGAAGGAAGGAAGGAAGGAGAACGCGGGGCACCGTCTCTTCAAAACGAGGACCCAACACCACAGGATGGTTGGGAACAAAGGGGTCGGCGGTGTGGCGTAAGCCTGAGAATCAATAGGCGGTACAGCAGCTTCCTCACTCGCTCTGACGCGCGCCGCCAGCGCCAGCATCCCAAGTGTCGAGACGAGGCGTCAGCGCGAGATCGAACACCCCCCCGCGTCTGAGGAGGAAGCGGCCAGGAACACCAAATGCTTTGGAGAGACCTCAAGGAGGCCCCAGGCAGACCCCAGGAGATGCCCAAGGAGCCCTCCAGTAAGGCCCTGAGGGGCAACAGAGAATGAAAAGCGTGCCGTTCCTCCAGCATTGCTTGCACGTAAAGGTCTTGA